AAATTAGTTACTACTGCCTTACTATCAGAAGTATGGTAATATATTTTATGTAACAATAAAACACTGAAAGCTTTGTTCTCAATCTTCCACAAAATTTATTGGAAGTTATAAATTTTGTGGAAGTTTAAAAACAAAGTTTTCAGTGTTTTGTTGTTACATAAAATGAATTTCCATCAAGTTACGGTCGAATCCATCAATTATTTAAAATATTTTAACTAAACTGTTGTAATGCTCTTACGTTTACTAAACATTCTGTATACACACATCCTGATGGCATGTTCGTATTTATTTATTAATAATGTCGGTTTACGACTCGTGGCTACTGATTGGCTCATTGTGATTGAATAATCAGAATCTTTTTGGACACCTTCATTTGCCAATCGTCTTATTGTTGGCAAAGAAATTCCTAACGCCTGAATTTCTAATTCTAAATTCAATATATTATTATCTTCCTTAAGGATATTAACATTACTCTAAATTTATTCTAAATTACGAATGCTTAATTACTGCTGCTGAATTATATATCATTAAAAAACCTTCTCCTCTAATCACAAAATGGTACCCTGGTGGAACTCTGATTGTAATAACGCCCTCCGTTTATCCAACAATGCTTTAAATAAATATCAGCAAAATAAATTCAAAAAAATCTGCTTCTTCTTCTTCCTTCCAATATGTAGGCTTTAAAGCCTGTCTCTTCTTCAATATTAGCCTCCTTTGGTAACATTTGGTAATTTGGTAACATTTTTATTAACCTTCAGTATTTTATTTTATAAAATAAAATAACAATAACAAGCGATTTCATCATCTCTAGAGTATTGTTTTAAAATAATCTTGTGTTTTCCAGAGTGAATCATATAAAATGGTTTTCCTAATTATTGCAGATTATTTTGCGGAGAAATATTAACATAATTATATTGAGATACAGTGTGATAAAAAATATTCAGTAATATAGTTTTTTTTGTGTGTTTTTAGCTTGGACAATTGTCATTCAACCAGTCTCAATCAAGATAAGTTTATTAATGTAGTGTGCGTGTGTGTGTGTGTGTGTGTGTGTGTGTGTGTGTGTGTGTGTGTGTGTGTGTGTGTGTGTGTGTGTGTGTGTGTGTGTGTGTGTGTGTGTGTGTGTGTGTGTGTGTGTGTGTGTGTGTGTGTGTGTGTGTGTGTGTGTGTGTGTGTGTGTGTGTGTGTGTGTGTGTGTGTTTGTGTGTGTAGAGTAATTGTCTTGATACTTAGCAAAGTCGACGTCATTGTCTTTGCTAAGAGACGCTAATTGTAGCCGAACGTCTGCGGTCCCTCCGGTGTGTACCGATTACACAAGGATAGAAATTATTTTCATTTATTAATTTTTTTTTAATAAACGAAAATTTCCACCCAGGTGGGATTCGAACTCACGACCTTTAGGTTTAAAGGCAGGCGCTCTTACCACTGAGCCACAGAGGGGGTTAGTAATATAGTTACATTTTAATAATGCGTTCTTTATGTCTCAAGAATTTTTTAAAAACAAAATAACTTCCAATAATTTTCTGCATAACGTTTTCATAACGATATTTATCTCATAATGTATAGTTTATGTTTCTGTGATTGAAAATTAAGCTGAATCTTCAAGAAGATACTTATATGAAAAGCTTCATATTGTGTTTTCTGTATTTTTTAAACATAAATATTGTTTTTAAGTTTAATAAAGTAATTTTATTATTTATTATTTTTATAGATTTAAATAAAATTGAAAAAGTTTACATGTTATATAAAGGTCACCTCTCGTCACGTAAATGGACTCTTCCAATTGTTTGCTGTGACTACTATTTTGTAAAATGCCATATTTCATATGGAAGTCTCTTTCAAAGCATAAATATAAAAGTTCAACTAAAAATGTTTTACTAATAACTCTTTTTGTCAAATTTTATTACCATTTTTGAACTGATAATTGTAGAAATCCGTCATTATATTTATATGAAATAATTTGACAATGAGAAGTTTATGGAATAAAAATTAAAGCCCGATTTTACAATGACAACCTAAACCAAACCCTAACTAATGTTCACTTTAGACTAGAGTACACTTTAGTGTCACACCCAGTTTCATAATACCTATAGATCTTTTCAATATTAAAAGTAAACATAAACAGGCCATTCACGTTCCGATTTTTAGTCCGACTAGTGGTCCAACTTCTGCAGTTGGATCTGAAATTTTTATGTTTTTAAAATACTTTTAACAACCTGATTTCAATGAACTATATCATGTAGGGTCTATAATGAATAATACAAGGTGAAACTTTGAAATTAATAATTTATCACGTGTTATGGTATTATTTTAAATTAGCTAAATACCGACAATAGACTTCTACTCCAAGTGTCAGTACACTGTCTATTGGGGAAAATTTCTGTTTAGTAACCGTGTTAACATTTTTTGTCGTGAATAATTAAAAACTGTATTCGCTCCGTGCGTGACTGACACGACACCTACCGCCTTTTTCTGACAATTTTGGAGTCCCAATTTTCAGGTTAAACATATGACATATGTTTGACATTGTTAAATACATGCGAAATTGACAATTATTAATAAATTAGTTTTTTAACTATATTTTTTCAGTTTATGTACAAAATAAATGTACCTAGTATTAAAAACTGGGTTTCTCAAAATTCATCATAATATATCTTTTCAACTCCAAACGTAAGAGAAAGGGAAAAATCTAGTACTGACAAATCAAGTTTTTCACGCAAAAGAGCATATAATTAAAAACAATAATATGTAGTAAAAGTTATGATATAAAAGCTAAAGTCATCTGCAGTTAGCATGAAGCCTTATGAAATATCATTCAAGGTAAATTATTTAAATTTTTCCTATTTCAATTGCGTAAAAATGAAATTATGTGATATTTACTTTTTCATATTAATAGCAGGAATTTATTTTTCTTTTCTCTAATTTAAATGTAATCTTTGGGAACCTATAAAAACTACACTCACTGTTTTTGCTATTATTAGCACAATTAAATACGCAACATGTATTTGCACACATTTTTGATAAAATTTGTGCGTAAAAATATTTTGTCCAATATTCCAATTTTGTCATATTTCGCCGCTATGCACGCTGGCGTCGTTTCAATGTACCCCTACCATGGTCACGCACGGAGCGAATAGATAGTCTGCTAATTAAGGTCGATTCAGACACATCAGTCCCGTTATAGTCTCGGCGCCGAACCGGCCCTGTTTGGTCACAGAACTATCAACTATCTGACAGCTGGGAAACTGTTTGTCAACTGATGAGTGTGAATGCCGGCAACATATTTGTATTAAAGAATATTTTGTATGACGGATTGTTCGGTTCGGCGCAATCACTGTGACGAGACGTGACTGATGTGTCTGAATCGACCTTAAAACTAAATCGCTAAATAATGCGGATTGTTATCAATTGTTACGCTGACATGTTGTTGACGTTTTACATTAAAATAATAAATTCTTAATTAAAAACTAATTTCTTGGAGAAATAAAAATTAAAAATTTAACTAAGGCCCACCGAATTGAGATTTTAATGATGATCGATTACGGGGAGAATTGTAGAAGTCAAGTTGAAGTAGCAAACTTATTTAATCAGGGGTATCCTCAGTTGCCTAATATTTCACAAGGTACTGTGTCTAAAATTTATGCACAGTTCAGAGAACTTGGACATGTCAACCCATTAAAAAGAAAATCGAACTTCATTGAAGAAGAAGTGAAAGTGAATATTTTCTTAAGTGTCGAAGAGAATCCAACGTCGAGTTCACGTCAAATTGCATGTCAAAATAATGTGAGTCATACAACGGTCCTAAGGTGCTAAGGAGCTAAGAGAAGACGATCCGGATCGTAGAATGGATTTCTGCAAAAGAATGATGGATAAAATTAACAAATGAAATAGCTCTTGGCACAATTTTTTTTAATTATTCAACATTTACATTGAACGGAGAGGTAAACTGACAAAACTGTAGATATTGGTCAGCGGAGAATCTTCATTGGATGCGTGAGAGACAGACTCAGAGACAATCCTCAGATCATATTATTGGTCCTATATTTATAGATGATAATTTGTCAGCGAAAAAATATTCAGGAATGCTAAGAGACGATGTTCTTTCTTAGTTGGCTAACTTATATCCCAATCCAATAGATCCGACGCTACCGCATGAAACTGTCTGGTTCCAGCAGGACGGTGCAACACCCCATTATGCTTTAATGGTGAGAAATTACTTGAATGAAATCTTCTTCAATAAGTGGATTTGATGAAGGGGACTATTGAGTGGCCAGCTAGGTCACCAGATCATATGCCTTTGGATTTTTTTGTGGGGTTATCTCAAGAATAAAATATATGCAACACAATCAACTATCATTGAAGACCTCAAAAAGAAAGGATAACTACACAAAATACGAAATATTTCACCTCAAACTTTAAATAAAGTTCAAAACGAGTTTTATAGGAGACTGTGTTATTGCCAACAACAAGGTGGAGAACATGTTGAGCATTTATTTTAATGTAATCCAATCAATTACCCCGGGGATTCTATGAATTCATTGTCTTGAAGGAAAATACCTAATTTCAAAATTTCACCTTGTATTATTTATAATAGACCCTACATGATAGAGTTCGTTGATCTCAGGTTGTTAAGGAACTTTTAAAAACATAAAAATATACAGGGTGTTTCATTTAAAATACAGATTATGCACTATGCCAGACTTGCATTGATCACCCTGTACATTCAAATTTATGTCTAAAAGCGTACATTTAAATTTAAAAGTTAAGGTATCTACACGTTTTTTATTCTTTTCTAAAATAAAGACACAAACAATTTTATTCCACAAGTGGTTTCCACCCTGTATTATATCTGGTTGTTAACGAATTCTTATCACGTTTGAAGTTGGTGTGAGGCTATCAGTACATTACTCTCTAATCAAAAACTGTTGTTTACAAACAAATAATTTTAATTGTATATTAATAGTATACTAATTTACATAGTTTCTAGTTGTTTTGTTATAATGAACAAGCTCCAAGAAAATCGTGGTGAGTATAATACTATTTCATATTTTAAAAAAATATACTACACTACTTGTACCTAATTGTAGAATAAATTTATAATTTCAGGCTAAAAACTCAAAATGTTCGAATAATAAAAAATTACTCAAATCTTTAAAATAAACAAACTGAAGTATTTAATTTAAGATTATTATATTAATTATACAATAACAATATAATAAAGTACATAATTTATTATAAATATTGAAGTGGTTTGTTTTCAATACATTGAAATATACTGTTAGCGAATAAACAACCAAAAATATTGCACAATATCATGATATCTAAATATTCAGGATCAAGGATTTGCTACAATTCACCCAGCTTTATTTCTAAATCGATGACGGTTCTTTGGAATCATCATGCAATGCATGATGAACCAGACCGTTTGCTTAAAAACATTGACACAAAAAATTAAAAAAAAGTTATTTAAATTTATTCTAGTTTAAAGTTGTCTCTAATGCTGTATACATTATATTTTACAGATATTTCGCCCCAAGAATTTGTGGACCAGCTGTTAAATGAGGGTTCCATGATACCATGTGATAACACAAATGAATCATTTAATCAACAGGGCGATGCGGTTCCTCCTTATTTTGATAAGCGGCTGTTTAAAATGTACGTAGAAATTAAAAAAAAAACTTAATTATTTACAGAGTTTTAAGTTATCATACTTCTCTTTTCTATTTTCGTACACTAAATTGCCTTTCCTGTTCGTATTTCTATCTTGAGCCATACTAATAATATTCCTATTCTCAAAACTATCTTGTCTAATGGTCTCCACTAGCTTCTATTGTCTTAATCCCCTACTCATTCCAGAGGCTTGGCAGTAAACGATTCTTCGTAATGGACTATTATTAGTTCGTTGAACCGTTGAACGAAAATTAATTAAAATATTTTGGGCATGTTATGAGAGCAAACACAGAAAACATGGAAAAACTCATAATACAAGGAAAGGTAGAAGGCCGAAGATCACGAGGAAGATCCCCAACAAGATGAATAGATCAAATTACAGGAATATGCCAAAGACCTATGCATGAATTAAAAGAAATGACCAGAGACAGAGATATCTGGAGACGGACAATACACGACATCACGTCGACCACTACACTCCCCCTGGGGGGTCAGGATTGAAGAGAGAGAGAACCGTTGAACGTGTCCGTACTATCTTAACCTATGTTCTTTCATATTGGAAATAATTGGTGCAATACTTAGACTACCTATATAGCTCAAACTATTACTTTTTATAATAATTTAACAATTTAAACCGTAATCTAGTCGGAATAACTCTATCTACAACATTCTGAATATTCAATTTTCATTAGGTAAAATTTAATCAAAAAACATCTAAATATCAAAGAGGTGTTTTGCACCATGATTTCTGTTACATTATTCCATTAATTATTCACAAAATTCTAATCTTAGTCATCATAGTTATCAATATCATAGTCATCTTCGTTAAATCCTTGCATTAAATTCAATTTGAAATGGTGGTATTTTAGTTTCTTCACGTTATTATTCAACTTTGGCTGATCATCATGATCGTCATGATTATAGGCAGAAATTTTAAAGCTTATATACAATGTATCCTGGAAATCCGTGCATCATTTAAAAGAAAAAAGTCTTATTATAATAATATTTTTTTGTAAAGTCAATCTAAAAAAAAAACAATATTAATTTTAATCCTTTTGATTATTGACTAAGCGAATACATCCGGCAGGTTTTACAAAGAAGTAAAAGGAAGGGTACAAATAACAGGGGAAGGATCGGAAGAATTTAATTGGAAGAGAGGTATTAAACAAGAAGATAGTCGCAGCCCTTTGCTAATTATAAGAGTAATGAACGAATTGATAAGAAACACTAGAGTCATAACCAATCAACTACAGACAATAATAGGTTACCACAGATTACAACCGGTAACAATAGAGTCCTTAATGTATACAGACGACATAGTACTAATAGCAGATTCTGAGAATAAAATGTAGAAACTAATGGATATATGGGTAGAACAAATAGAAGAACTAAAAATGAAGATAAACGAGGAAAAAAGTAAGATAATGATAATAAGTTGCAAAGGACATCAGGAAGATAATCAAATAAAGATAAAATGTAAAAACTCAGAATTGGAAATACTAAGAACTTACAAATACCTGGGAAGTATAATAACTAATGACAGAACAATAGACTGAGAAATAACAAATAGAGCAAAGAAATCAAACAAGTTATACTATGCGTTAGCCCCAATAATGGGAAAAAGAGAACTAACACGAGAGACAAGAATAAAAATATATAACACAATAGTGATACCGACTGTGCTCTATGCAAGTGAAAACTGGACAATTCTGGAAAAACATAAGAGCAGGATAAACAGAATGAAGATGAGACATCTAAGAAGGATAATTGGAAAGACAAAATGGGATAGATTAAGCAACGAGACTATTAGGAGAATGGTCAACCAGGAACCGATAATAAACAAAATAGCAAAGAGACAAATGAACTGGTATGGGCATCTGATGAGGATGCAATCCAATAGAATAACAAGAAAAGTTTATGAAGCAAAGAATATCGGAAAAAGAAAAAGAGGCAGACCAAGAAAAAAATGGATACAGCAAGTAGTAGAGGCGGGAAAACCTAAACAAAAATCATTCGAGGAATTGAAAATAATGGCAGGAAACAGAAAAGAATGGAAGAGGTGGAAATTAATATAGCTAGCCCATATACGACACCCTGATAGGGTAAAAGGAAGGGGAGAAAGAAAGAATGAGCCTGGCCCTGATTCCACCGCCATATTGGTATGATCGTTAACTACACCTTCTGACGTCATTTTTAACATACACGTTAATATGTTCATAGCTTCTCTATATATTCTAACTCGATGATTTCTACTAATGCAACGAAGAGGATAAGTTATGACGACACAATTTTTAATAGAGTATATTACATAAAGTAAAATAAAAATCTTTAATTTCTGATTTCAGAGGACAGAAGCTATATCAAAAACATATGTACGCCATGGATGTGATGCATTGCTTTGGAGTTATGTTGTTATATTCAATCAAGTCTGCTTTTGACGTAGCAATTTCTGCAGCAGGTCCCGATGCTACTGTATATGATCTCTTTATACGACAAATGAATACCAATAAGAATCTTCAGCTATTCTATGATGCGGATTTTGAACCAGGATCTAGGTGAGATATTAACTTTGTTATAACAAGTTATAAACTTTGTGCATGAACATTATCTGGTTTCTTACTATAATTTAAGACATAAAATCATTCAGAACAATTTTCAGTAAATCATTTATATATATACAGTGTAGGAAAAATTTTATGGTCGGTATGGACCTTACGTGAGATGGAGTGAGAAACAGCTGTTTAGAAAGAGAGAGGTATATTAGGTCCGCCCTTTATATCGCCAAACATGCATGCCTGGAAAGGGGAAGTTGAACGTTGCCAAATTTATTGGATTTATTTGACCTGTTGTTTTTTTTTGCATTTGAACAATATTCTAAGATAATCCAATTTGGGCGAAATTGATTTAAATGGCAGCTTACTGTTTTTTTATTGGGAATATGCCACAAGTTTACTTTACAATAAGTGTAATATAACATTTTGATTTCCACTTTGGAAATCGTTTTATATAAATAAAATTTATTAATGTTTCGTATTTTAAGTACGATTTCCGAATTAAAAATCTAAACATCAAAATAAGCTTATTTTAAAGTCACATTGTGCCTTATTCCCAATATGAAATAATAAACTGCATACAATAACACCACATTAAAAAATATTCATACACAATAATTTATTTGGCAACGTCGTCCGTCTGGTCAGAACACCGAGTAACGGGTAGTAGAGGTGGGTCGTGGTAATTTTATCGTTAAGAGCGTAGGCATAAAATTTCGGATTAATATTTTTTAAATGCATTCATTTTTTTCGAATTCTGATAAAACTAATAAATATTCTTGAAAAATTTAAACTCAGAATGAACCAATACATTATTACCGAGGGCCAAAAGTCCCTGAAAACTTCTATAATGTTTATTTTAATAAGTTATAAGGGCGAAAAAAAAATTAGTGTGATTTTTAATTTCAAATATGTCATTCAAAAAACTTTTTGTTTATTCTAAGGGACTTTCGGCCCTCGGTAATAATGTAATCTTTTATTCTGCATTTAAATTTTTCAAAAATATTTGTTAGTTTTCTCAGGATTCAAAAAAAAATGAATGAATTTAAAAATTTAAATTTTTGTAAACAAGTAATTATGATTGTTTATTCGTCTTCCGGGTTTGGACCGTGTCATTTGTGAGTGACCCCAAAGTGGATTCATCACGAGATGAACCCACTTTTGGGTCACTCACAAAGGACACGGTCTAAACCCGGAAGACGAATAAACTATAATTCTGACTCTGGCCGTGGAAGCCTACGATTTCAAGTAATTATGATTGTTTAAAAGTAGTTTCAAGTAAGAGAGTACCTACATAAACAAACATAATGGCTATTATCGTTTATGTGTATATTTATTGAAGTGAAAGAAATTAATGATATATTTATTATAACTTGAAAAATAAACTAAACAATACAAATAGTAAATCGTACTTACATTTACATTACACGTTATTATTAAATCGCGAATAGTCTAAATTGACATTAAAAAACATAAGTTTTTCTACATTACCTACTTCTTATTAACCATCTTCTTTTTTTATTTCAAATTAAACCAGATTTTGAACATGTGTTCACATTTACAATACTGTATGAATATAGGGGTTAAGTTAGGATATACATGGCGATGGTTTTTCCACCGTTGTAATGGACTCTCGATACAGGTGTACGTGTAGATGGGCCATCTCCAATTAATTGATCAAATATACACCATGGATTTAAGTCATCTTTATGGGTTTCTTTTTCTTGTACTGGTTGATTTTCAATAGTACAATCTTCTTGTTCGTTAATTATAGAAGTAACCAGCTTCTTAACTTTTTCTTTTATTTTTTTATCTTCATTTTTATCAGACAAACCCTGCACTTTAAATGGTGAATCCATAAATGTACATAATGACAATATGCCACTCTGTTCTATCCCTTTAAATATTTTTGCTAAACCCGATATAAGTAATTGTACTACGTCGGATACTATGGATGTAAGGTTACCGTTTGCTAAAATTTTCTTGCATGATTCTTGCAGGCCGCGTACCATAACAATCACTGAACTACCCTTCAAGTATTTTTGGTCACTCATTGTACTTGTTATTTCTTTAAACGGCCGTAAAATTTGGGAAAGCTGAGAACAAATAATCCAGTGTTTTTTATTTAGATTTGGTCTAAGTCTAAGTCTGTATTATTTAATACCGATGTGGAACGGAAATACACGCCAGTACACCGAAAATATCAAAATACAGAGAGGAGTCCGCCAGAGTTGCGTGCTGTCCCCACTACTTTTCAATGTCTACAGTGATCGGTATTTTAAGAAGCGCTCTCAGACTCAATAGAAGGTATATCTATCAATGGAGAAGTTTTGAATAACTTACGTTTTGCAGACGATACAGTAATAATTACAGATAACAACAATGATTTACAGAACCTAATGCAACGCCTTAATGAACGCTGTCATGAGTACGTACTGAAGATAAATTTAAAGAAAACTAAATGCATGATCATGACTAAATCTGCACAAATATCCAATTGACTATTGAAGATACTGCAATTAAGAGTGTTAATAACTATAAATACTTAGGAACATGGATAACATCAGATGTAGACCAAACCAAAGAAATTAAGACACGTATTGAAATAGCACGTACATCATTTATTAAACTTAAAAAGTTTCTTTGTTGTCGGGATATAAGGTTAGAACTACGCCTGAGAATGCTTCGATGTTACGTGTTCTCTACTCTTCTTTATGGTCTGAAAGCTTGGACACTAAAACAAGTTCATCTGAATAAGTTGGCCGCCTTTGAATTTTGGTGTTACAGAAGAATCCTACGAATATCATGGATTCAAAAAATGTCAAACATTGAAGTAACTAGAAGGATAGGAAATGAGGCAGAAATAATATTAACTATTAAAAGAAGAAAACTTGAGTACTTGGGACATGTGATGAGAGGGCAAAAATACGCATTATTACAACTTATAATGCAGGGCAAAATCCGAGAAAAGCGAAATGTGGGAAGACGAAGAATATCCTGGCTTAAGAACTTAAGGGTTGGTTTGAATGCAGTAGTGCAGACCTTTTTAGAGCGGCAGTCAACAGAGTCGGCATAGCCATGATGATTTCCAACCTTCGATAGAAGATGGAACTTAAAGAAGAAGAAGTGAAACGGATTGCCTCTTCTAATTCAGTCATTCTTTTTAACCTGTAATAGGTGAAGTTCTACCTAGTTTCCACGTCTTGGATTGGCTGTTTGGGAACTTTGTTATGTTGTTATTAATACTTTAAAAGAATTGTCGAAAAAAGGACTTTTTATTTTATCTATTATCAAATCAGTTTTGACATAACATTCCTGAAGTAATGAATGTAACAGTTTTTCTTGTTGGCGGTTTATATCCAGGAATCCACCCTGCAAACTTTTTAAAAGCTGGTTCTTCACCTATAGAAAACGGATGAAACGAGTCTTTGCATAAGTTTAGTAAATCAATAAGTTTAGTCAAGAAAAAGAAACTGATAAAGATGACTTAAGTCCATTGTGTATTTTTGATGAATTAATTGGACATCACTCATCTAAACATACAACTGTATCGAGAGATATACAAGAAGTCGACATGTATTTGTCTGATAATATATTACCCACAATAAATTTCGAACGGAGATTGGAACTGTCCATTACCGTGGTAAAACCATCGCCATGTATATCCTAACTTAGCCACTATATTCATAAAATATTGTAGAATTGTAACAAAATCTTTTCCTTGTGAACACATGTTTAAAATCTGGTTTAATTTTAAATAAAAGAAGAACACGGTTAACAAGAAAAGTAGAAAAACTTGTTTTTAAATGTCAATTTAGACGATTCGCGATTTAATAATAACGTGTAATGTAAATGTAAGTACGATTTAATGTAAATCTAAGTACTATTTGTATTGTTTAATTTATTTTTCAAGTTATAATAAATATATCCTTCGTTAGGTTCTTTCACTTCAATACTTATACACATAAACGATAATAATGTTTGTGTACTCGCTAATTTGAATCAACTAGTTACAGTTTACGAAAAACGGTTCCGATAAAAATTTAAAAAACGGGAGGACCCACCTCTAGCTTTTTAGGTATATTAGGATCGGAACCAGAGAATATGTAAAATATCTCTGATCGGAACTATTCGTCTCACTAATGGCCAATAGGTGTTAAAAATATTTGTGGAGGGGAGACCAAGGGGAAATATGATTGTTATCTTTGTCTATTCGCTGAAAATATGATTTTATATCTGCGTTAGACATCTTGTTAAATTTTACAAACGATAAAAATTTCAATATGATTGAAACAACTTATAAGAGCAAATCATTTAATAATCTGTTGATGTACTTTGGATAAGCATATGCATACTTTTGATTAGGTGGCCAATATCCTCCTGGGGTATCTCGTTCCACGACCACTCCTGAAGTACACCAAAAGCTTAAGGAGGATTCTCTATCTCTGACCCATAATTTTTTTAAACCTTTTTTCTATTCGAATTGTCGAATAAAGGGTTCAGCCCTTTCTCGTCATTTACCTTTGTTGTGGGTAAGGCGTTTCCACATTTTTCATGCGTCTCTTTTGTATAGTCGTCCCAGCGCATCTGAGGTCTTTCTCTTAATCTCTTTGCTTCGTGCAGTCGCCAGTTTCCAAATTCTTTGTTCCATCATCGAGACGTTCGTTGAGTCAAGCATATTTTCACTTTAATTTAGCTGCTTTTTCTGCGTGGTCCCTTACTTTGGTTTTGTTCCAGATTGCTTCATTTGTTTGCCGATCTATGAGTGACTTACCAACATGTTTTTGCTTAATTCCGGGTATTACTTGGTTGCCTATTCGAGCGGTATCCATCAGTATTAACATCTTCCTCTGACCTACTTATTGAAATTCGTCATAAAGTATTTCTCTTGTTGTTTAGTGTTTGTTATTCTGTTGATAGAGTCCGATGATATTCAGGTCTCCCTTCTCCATTCTTTTTTTTTTTGTTACAATTTTTTCTAATACGTATTGACACTCTTTGATCTGATTTTGTTATCTTTGGTGTATTGGTAACGCTACGCCGTCTTTGCCCTATTTTCTGGGGTGAATCGAGTAGCTCTGCCGTTACCACAGCCTGTCCTAAGCTTGTATAAAATATGGCAAGGTTAGCAACTTATCAATCGTAAAACGAATACCGTTCAAAGAAATAGTGGAAAGGCTCAGCGATAAACTTAAAAGTTAAAATTTTTAGTGACTTAATTGATATAAAAAAAAGAATAAAAAAGAAATCCGATATGGCTGAAATTCTAATTATTATTTATTGTTTTTGCCAAAATAAGCTTTCAAATAGTAAAATAATTTAGAAAGGGTCATCATATTACTATGTTACTAGTATATGCATTAGTAGTTTGCTCAATTAGAACAAATTACAATATTCCACTAGTCGTGGAACACGCTTAGAAATATAATAGTTTTGGAATATATCGTCATTACTAAATTAAATTTTGTTTGCAGAATACAATGATTACTTTTTTTATAATTTTGATTGTGATTGTGTCAGTATTTATTAACTCTTTAAATTACAGAGAATGGAAAGCAATAACCAAGACGAAACTCAGACACAACGCCGTTAGTAAAGGCAGTATAAAACAGGGTTTTAATGCTTTAACTCAAAAAGAAATGGTCCTTGGACAGTGGTTTATTGCTGGATTTAATTTGGTAAGAGGCGAGATGGCTGGTATACATAATGTTTCAGAAGAAGAATGGCTAGGATTTCATCATTATTGGAGGGTAATCGGCTTCTTAATAGGAATTGAGGAACGGTAAGAAACGTCTGTTTCGCTAAAATATTTATATATATATATATATATATATATTTATATATATATATATATATATATATATATATATATATATATATATATATATATATATATATATATATATTGTAGTTTTGAGTTTCTTGAACCGTGTTATATTTAATATAAAATTAATGTTTCTTGGGTTTAGGTTCAATAAAGATATGTTACATATTATTATATATATATATATATAATTTTATATTATATATATATATATATATATATATATATATATATTTATATATATGTTCGGAAAGATTTCCGCGGTTAGTACAATAAAACCTAGAGCTAAGATTAATATTATTATTAAAATGAATATCAAACTCACCAGTCTTCCGGGTTGAACCGCGTCGTAATCCATTTTGCCGAGCTTTCGGCATCCTCTCTGATGCCTTCCTCAGGGCTTCCGAGGTCTCAGTCTCCCGAGCCCCCAGACACTACTACACTGTTCACTGATCACTACGCTATCACTACAGACGTTGCTTAAGATTTAAAGAGAGAAAATGGGGAATATAAAATGCATTCCACAACATATCACCTCAACTAAGCAAAAATCTTTGTCGAGTTGGTTTCTTATACATATAAAGAGTATTTTGAAATAAACGAAAGACAGATAAGATTTGATTTCACGTATTCGCTTTACGTATTTCATCTTAACAGGACCAATCAGAGAAACTTCTGTAAAAGTCGCTCTATCTCTTTATTCGATTAAAAATTTTAACTTCCCTAAACATACCTTAAGGCGCGTAGCAGATATGCGAGCCAAACGGTATACGTACCGTATACGTACAGATCCTTGAAAATATCTATATCGCACTGAAGGCATACTTATCTCGATCCATGGAAAGCTATGAAACCAACAACGAACACACATGTGCGAAATAACTCATTTTATTTATAATTTGGGTTCTGATTTATCGTGTTTATGTTTCTTACAAAAATAAAAATATGTACAATAATCAGTTTATAGTTTTCTCTAGAAAGGAACACGTCATTCACACGATGTCGAAAGACGAGCTTTTTTGAAGTCGTGGAATACACCGCAACAATTTGGTTCGCGACGAGTCACGATGAAACAGTATGCATACAGTACGCAAGCGGTTTTTCCTACCGTACACATTAACGAATATAGTGTTCGCATATCGTATTGTAGCGAGATTAAATAAAACGAGCGGTTCGAATTTATATAAATATATTTATTTATAACTTTACAGTTCGGTATTCTCTTATCAACTCAACTTATTCCTAAGATCGTTACATATATATACCAAAGTTACTATTTTCTAGAAAGTTCCCACCTCTAGGCGTACGCGACTGATCTTTCTCGAAATATCGAGTCGCTTTCGAGATGCCGCCGCATGGAAGCATGAGGTGCTGTTTCGAGATGCAACCGTTATACGTGCCTCGTTGAATGCACGTTCGTAACACTGCTCCCCTCTTAGATCTGAGCGTCCCGATCAGCAACTCTATATGTAGACCCAGGATGGCGGAATCTACAGGCCTCTCCAGCTCTGCATGAACCCCTCAGAAAGAAATAACAGTCTACTGTCTTTGAAGGACACAATCTCTTTGGATTATTGCAACACACGGTAATTCTTACACCGGTTTCTCGGAAGATCACTTCTAGCATGCTTCTGACAATCTTCCAATCCAGATTATCTAGTGTATGGCCTATCTTGGGTAAGGCCTTAATGTCGTAATTGCAGACGATTTTCTTCAAATTAGTTAGAGCACGCCATATCCTCGTTAGTTGCCCTGTCTGTATACGACTTCCTGGTCACCATATACAGCAAAGATCGAGAACCATCTTCTAATCTCAGTACTCTTCCAACTTTAGGCTGCTGGTTTTTTAACTCGTCCAAACGACCGAACTTCTTATAAAATACGGATGAGATTCCTTTAGTCATCTCAAGATCTTGGGCAACACAGTGGGCTAGAGTGACGTTATGCGGAACACTAAAAAGATCCTGCTGAACGTCTGTCGTCACGCCGAATCTAGCACTCTTTCTCTCTGCGTAATTTGACATAAATTCATTAAAGCTTGGTCGCCGGTCATCTTCGATCTCATGTTGAAGGATTCGTGCTTCTTCTGTTTCATTTGAGCCAGCATAAGGTGCAAGCCGATTTATGTGAACTACTTTTGGTTTACCTTTCGGTAACTTTTTAATTCGGTATATTACGTCATTTATTCTCTTTTTAATTTCATACGGACCCTCCCATTGTCTTTGCAGTTTAGGAGACAAGCCACGACGACGTTGTGGATTATAAAGCCAAACAAGATCACCTACTTTATAGCTTTTATTCTTGCATCGAGAATCATATTGATCTTTCATTCTGTCACTGGCTAACTGGATGTGTTGTCGAGCAAGTTCATGAATGTTGTTCATTCTTAATTTCAGGCGGTCGACATAATCTTCGCTTGCAACATGTTCTTCGGAAGGTCTGGAGCCAAACTCTAGGTCGCAGGGCAAACGAACTTCACGACCTAACATCAGGCAGGTTGGAGTCTGGCCGGTAGTTTCATTTAAGGCCGAGCGGTAGGCCATTAGAAATAAATGAATGTGCTGGTCCCAATCTCTTTGATGTTCTGATACAACTTTGGACAGGTGTTTACCCATCGTTCGGTTCATTCTCTCGACCATTCTATCTTATTGAGGATGCAGACGTGTCGTTCTGGTCTTATTGGCACCTTATTGGAATCTTCTAGATACATTTTCGAATGTTTCATCAAGTCTTTTGGAAACGTTCTCTAATTTATCATCAGTTTTTTTAGAAGATTCTTCAATCATTTGCGAGACGTTTTCAAATTTATTAGAAACGTTCTCGAATTTATCATCATTTTTTTTAGAAGATTCTTCAATCATTTGCGAGACATTTTCAAATTTACTATCATTTTTTCTCGAAGATTCTTCAATCATTTGTGACACATTTTTTATTTTTGTTAAAACTGCTTCCTCTGCTGACTGGAACTGGAATATCTCTGGGTCGTCTCCATTCTAGTTGAGAACAGTCTTCAGTCGTTCTTGGAGTATCTTCTTGGACCCGCTGCAGTCTTCATCGCGTTCTTCTAGTTGCTCACGCAACTGTTTCACTGAAAGTTCTACTAGCAGCATCTTTGGTCAGGCACACACGTACTTTTTAAATGTTCTTTCGTACAACGATCACTACCGAACAACGCGGATGTTCCCGATGAACACTACTTTTCAAAAGTTCAAAAGTCTTTTCGTTTTCAAAGTCACTGCTGAATTTATTTTTTTAATAAATCAATTATTGTCCTCACACTGTGACACCAATTGTAGTGAGATTAAATAAAACGAGCGGTTCGAATTTATATAAATATATTTATTTATAACTTTACAGTTCGGTAGTCTCTTATCAACTCAACTTATTCCTAAGATCGTTATATATATATATATATATATATATATATATATATATATATATATATACCAAAGTTACTATTTTCTAGAAAGTTCCCACCTCTAGAACATAGAATATCGAGTCGCTTTCGAGATGCTGCCGCATGGAAGCATGAGGTGCTGTTTCGAGATGCAACCGTTATACGTGCCTCGTTGAATGCACGTTCGTAACAGTATGCATGCCGTTTGGCTCGTATATGTGTATCGAACTTTTTAGTTTGGCCCTCCTTGTTTTACGAAAGTAGCAAAATTTACAGTAGCAGTAGAATTGGCAATGCTGTTATCTTCTATCTGTAGACTGCCATTTGAATGTGATTTTCACTATATTTGTTGTTATGTTTAAACTAAAGTATTAAAGATATTGTTTGACAATATGAATAGTAAGAATACATTTTTTTAATTACAGCTTCAATGTGTGCAGTGTCCCAATAGATACTACAAGAAAAATATCCGAAATATTACTGGCACAAGTGTTTAATCCCGAGATGACAAAGAGGACCCCAGAATATTTAATGGTTACTAAAATAACTGGTTATTGTTGGGCACCAATATTACCAGACCTAGAAGCAAAATCCGCTGCCAACTACACTTTTAACTTGACCAAACCAAAAAATGGTTCGAAATTTCCACAGCCCAATTTTATGGAAATGAACTGGTTTTCAAGGATGTATTACTACTACTTTATGTTTGTTTTATTGTACCTGTTAAAATGGGATTTTTTCAGAGCTGTAAGGAACTTTATACACAGAGCTAATTTTTATTTGATCAAAAATTTTCCCATCGTTCCTAGAATCCAGTGTGAAATCTCACAATATTTACACTTCGATAAAAATGCAGAGAAGCGATATGGGTTAAACTGATTGGATGATTTTAAATTATGTTAAATACTTTTTATTCAAATGTAAGCATTTTCTATTAAAATTATATAATTAAGAGTAACTAATATTTATATTTTTAATTTGGACAAACATCAAAAACTTAGAATAACTTTTTTTCATTCGCGAGACTTGTCATAAATAAGTAATATTCAGTAAAATAAGGTAATCTGATTCATTTGCTTAGTCAAATGGCAGCAGCTATAGTCCATACTAGCGGAAATGGGAACACCCCACCACTTAATTCAACTAATTAGAAGTCTATATGAAAATAATAAGTGCACAGTAAAAATAAACAACACCCATTCCGATCATTTCAGAACAGAGGCAGGTGTCAGGCAGGGATGCATAATCTCGCCAACTCTGTTTAATATCTACAGCGAACACGTTATGCGAAAGGTACTATGATAGACAGATCTAAGGGCGGAATATCAGTAGGAGCTCAAAAAATCAATAACTTGAGATATGCTGATGACACTTTAATAATCGCGGCAAATCAGGAAGAAATGGAAGACATAATGAGATGTTTGGAGGAAAAAAGCAAAACATATGGACTAAAGCTAAATAGGAGTAAGACAAAGATCATGATAGTAGATAGAGGTCGAAATAATCTTCAACATATTAAAGAAATTGGGGGCTTTAAAGTAGTAAATACTTTTATATACCTGGGGTCCCTAATAACAAATGGCGGAGAGTGTGACAGAGAAATACGTAGAAGATTAACTATTGCTAGAACAGCTATGATGAGACTGATAGCAATTTGGAAAAATTCTAGCATAATAATACACACAAAACTAAGGCTAGTAAGTACGCTCATTTTTCCCATAGCCACGTATGCATCCGAAACGTGGACTTTAAAGAAAGCAGATAAAAATAAACTGGACGCTTTTGAAATGTGGGTATACCGCCGCATGTTGAGAATATCCTGGATTGATCATTGCACTAACGTATAGATATTAGAACAACTTAAGGTAAAGGATAAATTGCTTAAACAAATACAACATAGATATTTGCAGTATTTTGGACGCATTGCTAGAAAAACAGGCACGATGGAAAAACGTAGTCGAGGGTAGAGTTGAAGAAAAGAGACCTAGGGGAGGATCTCCAAGTCATTGTGTAGATGAAACAAAAATATTGATTAACAAGAGTTACATGAAGCCGAACAACTATCCCAGGACAGAGAAGGATCACTACATCCCAAAAGGGATTAGAACTGAGGAGTCATGGAGTCACTTACAAACATGGTAAGGACTTACTTAGGTTGGATTACTCAAACAATGGGCCAAGTTTAACATCAAGCTAGCTACTTTACGAAAGAGACAAATCTTTCTTCTGAAATGTAGTCCCATAGTAGAGCAAAGCGTATTTTCTCTGGTTTCCTCTTCTGTTTTTCTTTATCAGCCCTCCTATTAATGCTTTTTTTGCATGTTTGTATACATACTTAGTTTTTTTTAATTTCTTAGCTTTTCCTTTCTTTTTATTACTTTTTTTTGTTTTTCGTAAAATATAATTTAATTAGTCATGTCTACCAAATTTTATTGCAGATTTTACATCTATCTTCATCAACCTTCAGTTTGTGAGCTTATGGAGGAAGTTATAGGTCTCATAGTTAAGGTGGTTATAGAGTTTTAGGGAGGGTGTAGAATTTAGCAACAACACTTTTCTAGAATAAGAATTTTTTTTATTGTTTGAATCAATTTGTGTCTCATGCCAAAGGCCTTTATTAAGACATTCGATTTATTCCAAATATTACCAGTTGGATCACTAGGGAGGATTACGTAGGATGAATCCTGATTTAGAATTTCTTAAGAAAGTCTCTGCTTCTTTTTATCTCAATGTTGGCTAGCATCGTTGTTTGATTTAAGTTTATTATACACCTGTAGTTGAGACATGTTGTGCAAGAAGCGACGTTTTTTCCCTAATTTCTATGGCATTTTGATGTTCTTCTCGTCTAGCATGGATTCTTTGATTGATCTGTTCAGCTAACATAACAATAACACCAGCTTTTAGAACAAATAACAACTAAAATATATTATATATATATATATATTTAAATATATATAATATTTAAAAATAAACATATTAACAATAACAAGAATCAAAAGAAAAAGAACTTACACAGTGGTGTATACAAAGTTAAACATGGCGACAACCCAAAAACTTATATCGGCCAAACTGGTAGAACTTTTAAAAAACTTATAGCAGAACATAAAAGGGCTTTTAATAATAGAATAACAGATTCTACATACGCACTTATCCTTCTAGATCATACAAACAGTTCTCCCCTCCTCAACCTATTCAGTTAAAGACTATAAAGTGTAAACAAACACCAAATAAATTTAACTCAGAAGACTAAAAATAAAAAAGGGAAGAATAGGATTAACGCACACCTCCCATGAAGAGATTAGATTTAATAAAGATATCAAATGCAAAAAAGGCACTCAGGGATGGATAATATTACAAACTTAGCCCTAAAAAATTTGTCAACGAAAGCAATAGTACATATATAACGAACATCATAAATAGTATCCTTAAATTAAGATACTTCCCTGACAGTTAAAAGGAAGCACATATGATAATGATAGCCCAAACCGCGGAAAACAGCACTTTTCCACAAAACTAAAGTCCTATAAGCTTACTATCATCAGTAAGCAAAATAGCGGAAAGAGTCATTCTAACCAGACTCTACGAAGAATCACAAGCTATGTGATTTATTTCAGAAGCTCAGTTCGGATTCAGGACAGAACACTCCTGCGAACTACAGGTTTTAAGGCTTACATAATCAGGTTCATCACCAAAGTTTTTTATCGAAAAGTTGTACACAACAACGGCGTTCCTCAACGTGAGTAAAGTTTTTGATAGAGTACGGCATCAAGGTCTGCTCTATAAAATGAACAACCTAGGCTATACTGAGGCGATGACATGTCTTCGTGCGTCATACCAGCGAACAGAAGGTTCAGAGTTCGGATCGGGCCAACCCTATCTGAACTCGGTGCCTCAGGGAGCGGTGCTATATACACAACTGATATTCCAACAGACTCCAGAACACTGGTTAGTCTGTATGCGGATGACACAGCCATAGCTGCTAGCAGAAGAGATTCTAAACTAGCTGCCAGGCACCTACAAAGTGTTATGAATAGGTTCCAAAGATGGTGCATTAAGTGTAAAATCGCCTTAAACCTCAAAAGACACAGGCCATCATGTACAGACACCGAAGAAATAGATCAGCTAGGGAGATCACCATTGCCAATACCCAAGTAGAGTCCACGAATGAGGTAAAAAACCTCGGAGTGAAAAGCCCTAAGAAGTCAACTCTCTTCACTAGTAGGCAGAAAGAGCAAACTTTGTTTCAAAACAAAAATGAAAGTAGCTAACAGCATAATACTACCCTTACTAATTTACGCATCTGCCGCATGGGAACACACAATGCAAAAGTAATAGAAAGAAAGTCCAAATATCGCAAAATTGGATGATCAGATAGGCATTAAATGTACCCAAATACGTACCATTAAGATCCATATTTAGAGACTCTGGCCAGAAGAGAATCCTAAGGACAATGGATGAGAGAGCCTACGACATCTTCAATGGACTCAGGAACCACAACAATAGGATGTTCAGAGACATTAACACAAGAACGGTGCACAGACGGTCGAAACAACAATTAACTGGATATAGCAAAAAAATATAAAAATGAAGAAATGATATAGTCACATAGTAGTTAAATCGAAGTAGTTTAGATAGTAACCAGAAAAAAAAAAGGAACAGAAATGCTGCAACCAATCAAGAGATGGTTGTTTGGATGATTTTGGATAGCTGCAGCAATTCGGTCACAGTCTGGCGAGACTAAAGCGATAGTATAAAAGACCAATATACTCCGGGGTGTGTGAGAGCAATATACACCTGAGAATGCACACTCCAACACACGCACACATAGTAGTAGGTAAGATGTAGTAAAAAATAAAAAACTCAAAAAAGATATACACGGAGTGTGTGAGAGCAGTATACACTTGGGAATACACACTCCATAGTTAAGTTAAATTAGTAGTAGCATGGACGTATAAACATAGATGGACACAGCAATAAGATACCTTTAACATACAATGTTTTGAAGCTTCGATAGAATGTGATGCTTCCGCAATGAGCATAAGCGTACTTGAATTTTAACTCGCGGGTAATTATTCTTATTTTAAAAGTTGGAAGTAGTAATAATGTATAAAAACACGTTCAAAGAATTAAAAAAAACGAGAGTTTAACTATTAACAAATCACGTCTTTATAGAAAAATTAAAATACAATTTTATTTGCTTTAAAATTAATACAATTAAATATAGTTGAATTCAAGTTAATTTTTTAATAGTATCAAAATAATGCTACAATAAAAAAATCGTCAATATTATTTGGAAACCTACATAGAAAAATAAATGAGTTTTATTTATTTCACTAATTTATTTGTATCCATGAGAAATATTAAATTAAAAAGGTACTAAACAGATCTTTTTTAATCAGATGGTGTCTACTTACAATTTATAAATGTCTACTAATTTCATGAACTCATATCTTATTCAATACATTAATGAACATGAATAAACCCAATGGTACGCCTATTAAAATGTAAACAAACACGCTTCCTCATTTCCTCATCTTAAATAATGTAAATTGTATGTACTTACAAATGAAATGAGAGATCGGGATGTAAATATTTCGTTTATTTTATTTCACTTTTCACAAATATCACTCAAAATACAGCCAAAATATCGAAAAATAACTTTTTCCTCATGGAACAGCATTTGAAGTTTGACGTAGATCTATAAGACAGAGAAATGTAAACAACCGTTGCCATTTATAAATAGTTTTCACGGCTTCTACATATAAAATAATTGATTGATATCTATTATACGCTATTATTAAATGATAATGCACACTATGTGCACAATTGATATTTTGATTACAATTAAATATGTATATTATTATAACTAATAAATTATT